GGGGGGGGGTTAAATGTTTTTTTTCCATTTTCTTTAACATTATTGCTTTGCAAGCAATACTACCAAAACCCTTGGTAATCCCCCGCTCATTAGATCACACATTGTTTAATTTATGACTTAGAATAAAACAAATTTATAACAACTATTCGTACTTGACTTCCAGATTCCACCAATGGTCAATTATTCCATGGAGGGAAGAACTTATCGCTACTTCAAAGGAGATCCTTTGTACCCGTTCGGCTACGGCCTCTCCTACACCCAATTCCTGTACGCCGACATGACGTATTTCAAGAACGTCAAAGCAGGAAATGACCTTGACCTGCAGCTTGCTGTTACGAATGTTGGGCCTATTGATGGCGAAGAAGTAAGTTTTATACATAAAATAAGCAGTCTTGATTTAGAAAACAAACTTCTAACAGGAGACAAAGGGTTACGAATGTTGGGCCTATTGATGGCGAAGAAGTAAGTTTTATACATAAAATAAGCAGTCTTGATTTAGAAAACAAACTTCTAACAGGAGACAAAGGGTTACGAATGTTGGGCCTATTGATGGCGAAGAAGTAAGTTTTATTCATAAAATAAGCAGTCTTGATTTAGATAGCAAACCTTCTAATCGGGACAAAGGGTTGCGAGTGTACAGTGTATAGTGTATATGTACAGTTAGGTGGCAAACAAAACAATCACGTCGACACCAATACTTCAGCACTTACAGAAATGAGCTACGTTGTTCACGTGCAATGACTGTGTCTCCACCCCACCCCAAATCATCTTACCTCGGTGGGCTCTCGGGGTCTAGATGTACGGCGTTCACCTCTCATTTAATAGGTCCTGGGTTTAAAACCTGATTGCGACGGAAAGCTGTTTTCTCTAACTTGTTTCCTTTCACCTCCTTTCCTGCTCTCTAACCATGTTCTGACGTCTGCTTTCATCTTCACTCCCCCCCCTCTCCTTTTTGCCCCCTTCTGTGAGCTCCTGACTCTTTCTGCTGGCTATCTTCTGCTACCCCTTGGCTCCTTCTTATTACTCACCAAAACAAAAACAAAATCAGTTGTTTATGTAGAGCTAGGGGAAAAACAGTCAGCCACGTCGACAGGCACTCCTTCACGTACAGAAATGGTCCATGTTGTTCGTGTTTAATAACTGCGTCTCCACCACATCCAAACCCAACTTGCCTCACCTTACTTAACGTCTTTGTGACTCCCACAGGTAGTCCAGTGCTACATCAGCTGGGTCGACAAGTCCTTGCCCGTCCCCCAGTTGCAGCTGGCTTACTTTACTCGTGTCTTCATCCCATCCCAGCAAACGAGGATGTTGTCTATAACCATCTCTGGAGAGTCCATGGCTTTCTGGCGAGATGGACAATGGATCGTTGAGCTTGGTAAGCAGCAGTGCTTAATAGAATCTAGTAAGGGACCCGCTAAAGAAAAAGATTAATTTTGCTGGGACTCTCACTGGAGTAAGTGCGGTGGAGTTTAGTACATTTAGTTGGGCAGCGTGGTGAAATTAGGTTCTTATTTTTTTTTAAATACTGATAATGAAAGTGAAGAAAACAGGCACTGATCCATCGGTTTGGCAATTTTTTTAACGAATTCTTGTTTTTGTTTTTTGTCTCAAGACCTTTTAAGTACTTAAAAAAACATTTCAAGGCAGTTCTTACTGAAAAACGTTGATGAAAGGCACAAAAAAGTGTAAATTTTCAGATTTCAAGGACTCTCATACTATGGAATTCACCTAACTTTGGGGGGCATTTTCTCGCAAATCTCCCCTCTGAAACTTGGCGATCCCCATCTCCTTCATTTGCGATTATTTCAACATCTACTTAATAAGATAGATGGGTATTGTTTTAAATCGAAAACAACAAAAATGAACAAGCTTAAAAATGATATCAATAACTTCCCATGCCCATTGACGAATACCTGATTCCACCAAGCCATGACATATTTAATAAGATTGTCGTGGATAATAATAATATATAGGCCTACGTCAGACACACAAAAGCAGTCTTTAAAAGTTGTGTCCATTGAGCCAAAGGGACACAGCGGCTATCATAGGTGAGTATAGAAGAGGTGGGTTGGTAGGCAGCGTAGCTCGGAATTTGCATACAGTCTCTTTTCCCCCATCCCACCTCCTCTCAAGGTTGATTATAGTTCCACCAAGAGTGAGAAGCCAGAAGAGAAGCGAAGTTTTGCATGAGGTTTTCATGGTCGAACTTCAACGTACCAAGCTTTTTCGCATAGAGATGACATGTGAGAAGCAGTTTTAGAGTTCAAATTATGTTTAATGAAATAAGTTTTCAACTAAGAAGTTTGTCTCCTATCTCCCCAGGTGATATGTATCTGTACTGTGGGGGTCAACAACCTTACCAGAAGAGAAGGGCGCCTTCCAACGTGCTCTCTGATTCCTTCACCATCATTAGCCGTACTGAATAGTCCCCACATTATTTCACGAGAGTTAAAAATTAATGCTTATTATTGTTCCTTAGTCTCTCTGTCTCTGTCTCTGTCTCTGTCTGTCTGTCTGTCTGTCTGTCTGTCTGTCTGACTGTCTGTCTGTCTGTCTGTCTGCCTCTCTCTC